AGAACCAACAACAATACAAATCAAAACATGAGAGACCGACACCTACACAACCCACATTAAGACTTCACTGCCATGAACTCTTGCCATTCTCTCCATGCTCCCCGAAGGACCATCTCTTTCGGCATCCAAACTTGCTCAAACAACCACAAATTCCGTGACCTCCACAGCCACCATAGTATATAAGTCGAGAGTTGTATCCAATCTTCAGCCACCTCTGATTTATCAACTGAGCATACTTGGTTCCACCAAAGTTTAAAGGACTGCTTTCTTTCCTATTCTCCTTCCTAAGACACCAGGGCCACCTTCCAAACCCGTTTGGCTCTTGTACAGTTAATGAGAAGATGCTCAACTGTCTCCACCTATTCCCCGTACATCCTGCAAGTAATATCAACCTCCATACCCCTTTGTAGTACATTCTGGCTCACATGTAAGGCACCATTGTAACATTTCCATAAAAAGTGTTTCAATTTACCCTCACTTTCAATTTCTACGTTCTACTTCTAGTTTTTTTTCTTTCACTACTAACCTACTTCCTCCAGCTTCATCAAGCTTCAAAATTTTGTTCATCATTAGATGGTTACATGAACTAGCTACTGAAAACAGCCCTTTTGCATTAAGAGAAAAACTTCATCTATCAGGTTTGTTAGGTTTCATAGTCTTGATTTTTTGAATAGCTAATATGTCACTATCATTAAACATTTCCTTCAGCAGCCTTACATTTCATTCAGTACTGTAACGCCCCACTTTTATTTGACGAAATTTAGAATAAATTTTTCAAAATTTATTTCAAAACACTTGAGGCGCTACTCATTTCCAAAAACAATTTCAACATTATCATAAATGCAACTTCCAAATGAGTTCAATATTCATGCCAATACCCAAACTGGGTTCAATATTCATGTCAACACCCAAACCGGGTTCAATATTCATGCCAGCACCCAAATCGGGTTCATCAAATTCATAAATACTAGGGAGTACACTCTCTATCAATAATCCAAAATCCAACGTAAATCAAAAATGCAAAAATAATACTAAGCAGTTTATGCAGCGAAAATAATCAGTAATATGACCACCATTCGCCTCCCTCTGTCGTGCCCGCAAATTACTAACCTGCATCCATGAAGAGCAGGTGGGGATGCGCACAATAGGAAAATCGAGGTGCTCATCGCTATGCAATAATTAATATTCAAATTTATAAAATAAAGCAGGTATGGTCGCAGTACGAACACAAATCAATTAATATCCCATCTCCTACCCAGAGTCAACTCTCATGTGCACACCTATACCAATAGACTACTGCTGATACACGTATCGAAAACCCCCGCGGGCCTTACATTGGATGCCCAGACAGTGGGAGTAAATCCACCCCGAATGCCCAAAAAGATCCCTTCGGACTTACATCGAGGATCACCAGCCAAGGCTCAGGCCCTGACTGCCATACATAAATAAAGGAGACACCCCATCGGGTATGTTCTATAGCTACGGGGATAACCGTTCGACCGCCAATATGGCTCACATCGAAGGCTACATGGTTCACATGCATACTTTGATCATACCACAACAATAAAAATTAATTAAGGCATAACAAATTTCAAATAAAACTCACCTGGTAAATCGGTAGAAAAAGCACACAAATAGGTCGGTAAGTCGAGGGCTCGACTCCTCAAACACCTACATTTAAGTGAGATTTTAATCAATAATTTGTCTCACTACTCGGCATTAACATATAATTCACACTTAATCAAAAATAATGATTAAGGGATTTTTATCGGATTTTATCGTGGACTTGGAACTCTCAAAATTTTTAAAAGAATTGACTCGGAGTACTAAAATAAAGTCTCGGGACTTAAAATAATTTTTCCCAAATTTTTCTCATTTTGAAAATATTTCAAAATCGAAATCGGTATTAAAAATGAGCATCCGGAACACAAAAATGGTTAAAAAGCCGAAATGGGCCGCCTGCTAGCATTCTGGGCCGAAAAGATGTGAAATTTTGGGCCAAGACCACACAGCAATGGGCCTGAAATCCGCTGGTGAGGGCGCGGGCTGCAACCGGCGAGTGCGGGCTGGAGCTGCTGACCGAGTACGGGCCGCGCGCGGGCTGGAGCGGGCTGGACGTGGCCCGCGCAGTTCTGGGGGAAATAAAAATAGAAAAAAAAGGAAATTGGCTACAAGGCCTGGGTTCGAACACGAAACTCCCTCACGAAAGTAGCGTACAACACCAGT